TATTAGATTATTTATATATTTTAATATAAATATTTGCATTAAAATATATAGATCTGATTACATTTGAGAATTTGAATCTGGATAATAATTTTTTTTAATTTTTCTGTTTATATTATTAATGATTTCTTATTTTACAAATACAGTCAAACTTCCATATAACAAATTGTCTCTAAAAAACAAAAAATTCATCATATATCAATAAAAAAATTATTAAATGGAAAATGAACTTATAGTGAAAAGAAACATAGTATATCATAATTATATATCATTATCATGAAAATATTACTCTATATATATTAATAACAAAATAAAGTACTATATATGCATTTTATATGAAAAAAATCAAATGGACTATACAGTATAGTAAAATGTTATGATTGATTTAAGTGTTCTCATGTATTTATGTTGAAAAATTAATTTAACTTCATTTTAGAAAAATTTTTAGACCTGTAAATTTCCACTGTTGTCTGTCCATCCATCTGCTTTTCCTTAACCTCAAGAATGGAGTTAGATAGATGACCAGTAAAATTCTATGGCTAACAAGAAAGTATGATATACTGTACAAGAGCAAGACACTACTAATTTGAGGTGGAGAGGATATATTTTAAATGAAATGAAATAAAAATATGATTAAAAATTGCAACTCGACATTGTGACGATGTCTCAGTAAATAATTGCTCATCTTCACCTACATATTTTTTTACCAAAAGCTATTTTACTTTCAATGAATAAATATAACTTTACCTAAGTAATCAAAAATTTTATCCAGAACATCTTCTTACTGTACTGTAACAACTGTTCAGCTAGTGAAAGTCATGGAAATGACTTTCATTTTAACCAGTTTTAACACATCAATATGAAGAATAAGATTTATTTGGCTGTTTTAATAAATAAATACTTTGTTAAATAGGTATATTTTTAAATGTAAGAAGTGAGAGATTTCATTATTTCACAGAAAAATTCTTTTAAAAGAGACATTTGTAATATAGAACTTAAAAATAGAAATTTGACTGTATCTATATGTATTTAGAGAAATGAAGTGTTAATGAAAGAAAGGGAAGACTAGAATTAGCCAATTTTAGAAATCATTCAATATGCTTTTTTGATTGTCATAAAAAGATTTTAATAAATTGAAATTCAGTTACTGTAAAAAATTATTTATTTTCGTCAGAAACTTCCTGAAAAATGTATTATAGTATATAATTTAATTTTTCCAATTGATGGAGTTGAAAAGTTTGAAAAATGTTTAAAAAAATGATGACTTCTAAAATTGTTACTTTATATCCTTTCCTTTGATTTATATAAAAGTTGAAAATTTTAATTATAAATTATTTATTAGGTTAAGTTTATTATCAATAATTTCATATTTAGAATGTTTAACATTATTTTAATCTTTATGTAAAAATAAAAAAATATATTAATAAAAATGTTTTAATATAGCATTTATCAAAGGTTAGAATTTGAATTATAAGCATTTTATATCTCCCAATGGATTGCAGCTAATTACAATTTTTATCAACTGTAAATGGGGCTAATCCACAGTAAGATTAGCCAACATAGATGAAAGATTATGAACAGTTTACATTAAAATTCATTATACAGTTTGAATGTGCTCAGCAGAGAATAAATTACAAATTTATGACCACACCTATGCATTTGCTGAGAGAAAATTTTTAATTACTAATATTTTCAACCTGCTCTTATAGGCCATCATCAAGTTTCTTAAAACCATTTTTAGAAACTGTTTCACAGATAGAAAATCCAATTTAAATTTTAACCTTTGAGGAATTCTAAATACAAATTCAAATTGAAACGAGTTAAATAAATAACTTATGAAAAATATGAGGTTAACAATAAAAAAAATAAACTTAAAAAATATACAAGGTTTACAAAATACAAATAAATATGCTAATAAGAAAAATATATACAAAAAACTGAGAGTATAACACATAAGCTAAATATGATTATAGGTGGGACACACAGGGGTTTTATGTCTAAATCTTATATCAATGATGTATTTCCAGGCTGAAAGTAATACATTTGCATTTGTCTTGTTCAGGCACTGCTCTTTGATCTTGCTGTTGTAAATCTTTACTTTTTCCATATCCATAGCAATGGTTAGAGAATGTACCTTTTTAATGATGTTTGCTTCATCCCACTTTATAACAGAGCCTTCCACCTGTGACATTGCCACCAAAATTTTATTACTGTTCCCTTTTTTTGCATTGTATTTGTGTTCCTTGAGTCACACTTCGAGGGTTTTTTTTTTGTCTTTACTTTTCACAAACATTAGTAATTAAAAATTTTCTCTCTGCAAATGCATAGGTGTGGTCATAAATTTGTAAAATTCATTATTTTGAAATTAGTTGAGTAACAGTTTCTTTTTAAAGTATATGTATAAATTATTTGTAGTTGTAACTGACAGCACTATGCATCTAAACAAATATAAATTGTATTATGCCATAAATATATTAATAACTTAAAATTTTAATATAAAGTAATAAAATATTTGATTTAATCAATTAAAATTATATTTTAATATGCTTTAATAGTAAGTAATTATCAATAAAAAATATAAGAAGATATATTGATTTTAGAGCATTTTATTTTATAGAAAATTTTATAAATATTATATAGTAACAGAAATGGTATCACTACTTTTGTTAATATGTAAAATAACAATATAAAACAATGTAAAATAACAGAGAGATAGGGGACAAACAGTACAGGTATTGAATGATATATATCAGTTATATTAATGTAACAATTTGTAAAGAAATTTCTAATCTCCAGAAATCTCTGAAATCATATTATATCAGAGAAAAGATAATCTGTATTAACACACTTTCCAAACTTTCCCTAATACTTTCAGGTCTTTTCACTCTAATTTTTAAACAAATAAATAGAAAAAATTTAAATGTTATTTTTAGAGGATATTTTTGAACATGGGTTAAAAGATCTGAACTAGAGAAAATTCATAAAGTATGTTAATGCAAGTTGGCTTCTCCTATAATGAAGGATTTGAGAGATTGATATAATATTTTATTGGAAATGTATTAAGAATATGTACATTTTTATCAATATAATCTCACACAGAAAGATGTAGATTTATTTTGCAACTATCATAAATATGTTAATATTTATCACATATTGGGATGATATTAAATTGTGCCAAATAAGAAGCAATAAATATGATATTTTTCTTCAAAGAAATGTATTAAAAATTTTACAAAAATTTCATCTGCTTATTTACACAAGTTGAATTATCTTAAGTTTATTTTGTTTTGATATGGTAAATTCTTTTTATAGAAACTATTATTTTTGATTTCATATAATAATTATGATTTAAAAGAAATTTTTATTTAATAAATACAACCTCACCATAAACTGGAACCGTAGAGTCACACCTAAATTTAAACTTTCCAGCAAATAAGTCATAAATTATAAAGATCGAACATTTTCGGCCACTAAATTTATCGGCCTTTCTCAGAAAATACAAACTGAAAAAACCGTTCTATAAATAGAACGGTTTTAAATCGAAAGGTTTTTTATTTAATTATATTCAAATTTACAATGTGTTCTTAGTTAGATTTCTTTGATTTCTTTCTCTACTTTAGTTCCATTACTATTACTTTTTCTTTAACTCAAATAGTTTATAAACAAAAATGATGTTATCAAGAAAAATCACTTTTTCAAAACATAATTTTCTGAATAATACAAGATTTTGAAGTTTCAATTTCCCATTATCATCATCATACAATGTTATTTTTGCATTGAAAATATGCTTGAAAAAGAACTAAATGTAATATTTATTTATATATTGCAACTGTTTTAAACAAAATGAGAAAATACAAATAAAGTTCATTATAATGCAAGCATTTTTACCTTATATCGAAAGGCTTTATCAAATAGCATTTCAGAACAAAAACAGAATTTTTAGATCTAATTTCTAATTAGTTGGATACTGGCTTTTTATATTCTAAATTATTTGACAACTGGAATTTTCCTTTTATTTATCAAACTGTTGACTAGTCACATATGGCAGATTTATAGCTAGACAAATGAGAGAAAAAGCCCAGTTGTCAAATAAGACAGAAAATTTTAGAGTATTAAAGTTTAAACTTATCTGAGTCTTAGATATAATAATAATAATAATAAATATATGGAACGATTTATAAGATGTTATATATACTGATGTCACAGTATTTCAATTGTTTGTGGGAAAACAAAATGTGTGTTTGCCTACATTGAAAATATTCTACAATCCAGTTAGAAAGTTAATTAAGATATAAAACCATGTGAGGCAGTTTTATAGCTTTTTGGCCTTTCAGAATATCTTTAACCTTAAAGTCTTTGCATCTATTAAGCAATTTGTCAAATTTACTTGAAATACCATTTTTGTCATTTTTATACTTCAAGATAAATTTTATATGAGCCAGAGGCAAAAGAGAAACAAGCATTAAATATTTTACTTTGTAGCTTGTTAAGGGAATTTTTGGAATAACCTTATGGCACTCATATGTTCATAAACATTTTAATTCTTCTTCACAAATATATAGAATACAGTCGACCCCCCTATAAGATATAGATACGTTCCAATTTATTAGGAATCCGATTTCTTACAAGTCGTTCCAATCACAGCCTGACACGTGTCAAGTTTACGGACTACGGCTGATTGAAAGGTTTTTTTCCATAAAATTAATCGATTCTACACTAATCTGACTCAACATTTCCAAAATACGTATATTTTTTCGTAGTTTTATAGGAATCGTAATTATAGGGGGGTCAACTGTAATAATAAAAATGTCTACCTAATATGTAACAAAATGATTGAATGTAGATAAGCAATAAAAAAAAAAGTAATATCCAGAACATACTATATTTTAATTTAAAATAACTAATGTTTTCTGTAATGATGATATACTAAAAGTTTGTCATCCTTTTTTGTTTAAAGATGTAAATAATACATTCCTCCTCTTAAGATAATCTGGAATTTTATCATAAAGTAATACAATAAGAAGCCTTTATTCTTATAATTCATTATAAGAATAATGCAGTACGATTTAAAATGAATTATGCAGTACGAATGTGATAATACATCTTTAGATGATATAAATTCAGAATAGACTAATTTACTAATATAAATTATTGAAACACAATGAATATTTAACCCAATTTACTGTTAGTACTATTTATTATAGAAAAATTCAATGAAGAAATGTGCTGATGAAATAAACCAATATATAATATGAAATTGTTATTATCTAATAAAAATAATAGTAATCTAATATAAGAAATAAATAGTAATATATATTTTTTATGAAATAATTAGATTAAAATAATATAAATCTTATACCATAAAATACTTTAATAATTTACTACTATATTATAATAAAATATTTTTATTTGTAATGTGAATCAACTATTGTAAAATATTATAATCTGAAATCAATTACTTTTACTTCTAGTACTTCAGCAATGTCTTTATTGTATGAATGTATCAATACTGTGATAGCTGGTAGGTAGAATTATGGTTATTACTATATGTTGTAAAACTAAAATGTTTGTGTTAATTATTTTATTTACATATAATTAATAATGATATGTATTAATTTTTAGTATTTTTAAATAGAAATGTGTCAATTGGTTCTAGATTATATGAATAATTTTTCAGATAATGTCAAATGAAAGTTCTAAGTTTTATTTTTGTTGCATAGGAATAACAGGATGTTATGCATGTAGAACAATAATTTATATTACAAGGATAATATAAAATATAAATATGCAGTACGATTTAAAATGAATAATGCAGTATGAACATGATAATACATTATAAATAAAATTATTGTGAATTTCAAACTTAAAATCTTTTGTACTTAAATAGAAATTATTTACTTTTTAAAAATAATTATTAGTAAACATGTAAATGCAGCTTTTAGATATTTTGATTTTGGATAAATTTATTGTAATATTTTAATTGCTGATACAATATTAATAAATCAATTTATTTATTTTATTATTATTATAGAAGGCACTATATAATTAATTTTAAAGTCTTTTACATATACAGTAATAATTGCCATGTTTTGTAAGAATATTTATATTTTCAGTTTTGATTTCCATTTCATCTGGAATGCCAAATCATTCTGCATCCATTCAGGTATATACATGCTTAGTATTTGCTAAAACATCAACATTAATCAATAATTTTATCAAAGTTTTATTACAACCTATAATACTCCTATCCAATTGCAGCAACCTTCACATATCTATTTGTAAATAAACAATGTACTAAAGATATTAAATTTTGTTTAATAAAGTAGAAAGTTAATTACTTACTAGTTTATATGAAGCTTATAAATAAGAAAATTAATTGCACTTCACACCAAATAATGATCTAGTGTAATGTATGATGTAACATGTTCTGTTTTATGGTATTAAAACCAATGTTTTATTCAAGATTGCAAGTACTTTTGATAGCTTACAACTATCCTCATCAAGCTGATTTGATTAGAATCAGCCTGATGAGGATAGTTGTAACAGGCAATTTTTAAAAAATAGAACATAATGGATAACTTTTTAAAAATTGTTTCAGCTGTGCATTCATGGAATGTATGAAATTTGATAATAAAATCGTAAAACTACGGACTAATATCATAAAACTACAGATTATTATAAAAGAGTGTTTTATTTTTTATTTTGTTTTAAAAATTAAAGTTAAATAAATTTTTAACACAAAATAAAAAATGAAACACTTTTTTATAATAATCTGTAGTTTTATGATATTAGTCAATTATACAGGGTGGGGCAGAAAGGACGGACATTTTTGAAAGGATTTTTGAAATGGCTAGAACTCACTACCAGTTAGAGTGGCAGATTTGTGGCAGGTAGTGTGAAAGTATTGAGGTCTTAGCATTGTGTTTTCAGTTGAAGGCATGGAGCCATGGACAATAGAACACTGTGTGTTTGCATACGACTGGCAAAACAGTCTTACACTCAGTCATACACATCTGATGGGAATATGTTTCCGCATCCTTGCATACAATGGAAACATATTCCCATTAGACGTGTGGTTTCAACAGGATGGGGCAATGGCCCACACAGCTAGAACATCAATTGACATTATTTGTCATCTCTTCCCTGGTCATCTCATTTCCAGATTCAGTGACATTCATTAGCAATGTTGTAGCAGACGTTTTCATCGCAGAAACGTGTTAGTCATTCAGCATCGCTATCCTGTAAGCTAGAAGTTTGACAATGACGTTTGGAACGTCAGTGGAATCATGCTTGACGTTCCAAACGCCATTGTCAAACTTCTAGGCTTACAGGATGGCTGTGCAGAACGCCTGACATATACATTTTTGTGTTGAAAACTTTGGCCACTGGCTTCCTTGTTTGCCTGACCTATCCATGTGCAATTATTTCTTGTAGGGACACCTCAAGGCATGTATATGAGCATAAGCCTATTCTTTGTAAGAACTGAAGGAAGCTATTTGCGTGAAAGTCGCCAAAATCGCCTTCAGAAATGCATCACTGAGAACAGACACCACATAGGAGATGTTGTTTTCTACACTTGATTTTATAAAATGCTGTTTCAATATGAATTCACATCTCCCAACAAATATGTTTTGTAGTAACAATTACAGATGTTGTGATTTTTTAAAAAACATCCATCCTTTCTGCTCCACCCTTTATAACACAATTTATAGTTTGGAATGTTGAGGATGGTGCTGTTACATGATAGATGGGAGGTGATATAAAATATCTCCTACAGGAATAACATTCTTCAATTCTGGCAATGTTTAAGAATTAACGTGTGGAACTAGAGGAGTTCATAAACTTGGTTCAGGACGTTTTTAGTCAGTTCTATCATTTCATTTGTTTTTGTGATGTTCTTAGGCACGTGTCTGGAGCATTCTAGTAGTAGCTCCAATATAATTGATTGTCACTCCCAAGAAACAGTGTTGTAAAGATATAGCGTATATCCCTGATTTTTCCAGCAAGTCAACTTTCTCTCTCTCATTGCATAAAAGGCTATGTAAGGTAGGTTGGTGAGCCAATGGGACAAAACCCCCAAATTTTTTGAATATGCTTGTGACAGCTATTGACAGAAATCCTAAGTATGGTATTGCAGGCTGTATGTATAGTAAGTAAGGTCTTTTTTATGTTTAGAGTGGATAGTGGGAAGAATGCTCATTTTAAGCAGTTAACCAGGTACTGTAAGGTCTAAAAATAACCACTTAATAAAACCAATATTTAGAATAAAGACGAATCGCTGCTTGAGAAAGGTCCTAGGGAAGGAACCGAAAACGTTCGCAGTTCATTTTACGATTATTTAATACCGGTTATTGGTTTTATTAAGTGGTTATTTTTATATTAATCCGGTATTTGAAGATTCTTTACTGTAAGGTCTCTTTTTATGTGATGGATACGTTCTACAGAAAAGCGCATATAAAAAATTCGCATAAAAAAAGACTTTACTTGCGTTGAAAAAGTAGGGATACGTTCCGTAATTTTCTAAAATCGCATAAAACCAAAACAACAAGTTAAAATTAACTTAAAACCACATAAAAAAGTTTGTAGAAATTAAAAGAAATAGGCTGCTAAATACTTCAACTTGAAATCAGCAAGATTTAAACTCGCTACTTATTATAAAAATGAACAAAACACCGCTAAAATAAAATTTAATTTCAAAACAATTACAGTTTATGCCTTTCAATGAAAAACTCAGAATGATGTAATAGTGACTTATCGATGGTAAGTATCATGTACAAGGAGAATCCCCGAATTGCAAAAGCTCACTCTAAAAATAAATCACTGACATCTGGATGTGAAGAGTTAATTAAAACCCCTTTAGTTCCTCGCCCGAGTTAACTCGGGCAGGTTACATAGCGTTACATAAAACACGGTCTTTAAGGCCTTTGAAAATTTTTTTTGAATTTTTGGAATGTTTTTTAAGTCTCCAAATTTTTAAAAAATATTTTAAAATATACTGCCAGCTAGTGTTCACCCTACTTTAAACCCTTGTCCTCCCGCGACGTCTATGAGAATGCCTCGGGAAATCCAACTCCAGCTGTGTTCAAAGTCACCCAGATGTGTAAACAATGACTCATCGTGTTAAATTTCACAGAAGGGCGAGACAAAGGAAGTTAAACTTTGAAGCTTTTTCTTCAAAATGAACACATTTCTTTTGTTTTTTTCAGTTTTAAGTATTTTTTATGTTTAATTACATTTATATCAAAAATTGCTAGGAACTAAAGCGATTAAGGTAGATCTAGTAGTCCTTAACATCCATAAACGTTATATGTCAGTGGAACAAATGGAGTGAGCTTTGAGCGTTCCACGATTTTTGGAGACTGTCTATACACGGGCTTCCTAAACAAGCCTATATGTATGTTTGTCCAAGAAATATTTGGATGAAATACAAACCGCACAACTTCAAAATCGCATAAAAAGAGACCTTACAGTATTTGAATTTTGCAAGTGTATAATATGCCTTACGTATTGCAATGCATTGTCAACCACTACCTAACTATAGGAAAAGAGAAATGTCCTGTGTATGGTAGCTGTTATAGTAAAATTTTCATACTGGAAGGTTGGAAGGCTGTTGATGGAATTATATGGGGATACGACGTTGAATTTATAAAACACAGAAAACATAATTCCATCTGGAGATCTGTATCTATGCANCTTTGAAGCTTTTCCTTCAAAATTAACGCATTTCTTTCCTTTTTTTTCAGTTTTAAGTATTTTTTATGTTTAATTACATTTATATCAAAAATTGCTAGGAACTAAAGCAATTAAGGTAGGTCTAGCTGTCCTTTACATCCATAAATGTTATATGTCAGTGGAACAAATGGAGTGAGCTTTGAGTGTTCCACGATTTTTGGAGACTGTCTATACACAGGCTTCCTAAACAAGCCTATATGTATGTTTGTCCAAGAAATATTTGAATGAAATACAAACCGCACAACTTCAAAATCGCATAAAAAGAGACCTTACAGTATTTGAATTTTGCAAGTGTATAATATGCCTTACGTATCGCAATGCATTGTCAACCACTACATAACTATAGGAAAAGAGAAATGTCCTGTGTATGGTAGCTGTTATAGTAAAATTTTCATACTGGAAGGTTGGAAGGCTGTTGATGGAATTATATGGGGACACGACGTTGAATTTATAAAACACAGAAAACATAATTCCATCTGTAGATCTGTATCTATGCAGATCCAAGAATGATATTTTGCCAATGACCTCATATTTTATGGTGAATAAAATGGAAGAGTAGACCAATAACAGCATTTCTATAAATAATAATAGTTTCTCCTCCAAGCCTTCTCAAGCAAAAGATATTGTCTACATATTGTAGGTAAAGGAAATTATATAGTTTTAACAGCATAAGACAGAGTATGTTACATTGTAACATTACATAAGCTCATAAATATTTATGGAAACATTCATAATTATTATGAATTATAAACTTTTGAACTTTTATCATCTTTGATTATTTTTGTAATACTCTATTGATCAGTTTGATATATAATGACTCCATTAATTTATAACAGTCACAAACACAATATGACAATTATCAGTTTAGAATCAGAAGTTCATATTATTATTTGATCGTATTTTGTGTTAAACAATGAAATTTGATTTTAAGGTAGTTAGGTTGTCATCTAGTGCAAAGATGAATAATTAGGATTAAATATGTAATTTAAAATAGAGTTTTAAATTCTCATGTTGAAATTTTATCTAAAAGTTTTATTTCATGACAATAATTATAGAGAATATGCTATATTATAGTTTTTATACAATTTGTATCATGCTTTAAATCAACATTAACTAAAGCATTAATTAAAGTGTTCTGTTCATAATAATTAAATTTAAAAATATCAAAACAACAAAAAATCTGCATTTATTTTGAAATTTAATTAATTTTTAATATATTTGCATAGTTGTGTGTTCAGAAGTTAAGAATTTTGATAGAAGATACAGATCAAAACTGTAAGTTAATTTTATTTTTATTAAAGTTTTAAACATGCTTTAATAATACACTTATTATATTTCTTGGTGTATAGATTAATATTAGTGACCTATGGGCACCTTATGCCAAATTTTATAATATACAGTAGAGCGTCGATTTTCGGAATCAATTGGGGACTGGGGTTGTTCGTATAACTGATATTTCGGATAACCGATTTATGTACGAAAAAATAGTTTAACGTATCCGATGTTGAAATTTTTTCCGTTGTGTGTCACTTCGCATTGAATTTTCGTCGATGTAAAGCCTAACAAAGACTATTGTATTGTTAAAAATTATTTTTTTATTTTGTACAAACAAAATAAATGTATTGAAAAATATAAAAACAATAAAAAATTATACTTCAGATGTTAATTTAGTATCAAAAGCGTAAAATATTTGAGTAGCCCAAGACATAGCCAAAGATTGAAGCTCCACAGCACTGACGAAAATTTAAATTTGCCGACTGGAAATCTTTCGGATGATTGACTTTCGGAAAATCGACGCTCTACTGTATATTCAATATTTATAGAACATAAGAACAGCCAATTCTGAGATTTCAGGATTGAGGAAATCACAGTCCTATAATTCCAGGACTGCAATTCTTAATTGAAATATAGTTTTTATTTGAAATTTGAATTGATATGCTGGAATAGGATAAAGTATTAACTAATAAAATTTATTCATACAAAAAATTAATTTTATCAAAAACAAGATCACTTTTTTAACTTTAAAATTATTTTCATAATGAATCTCTCTTTTCTCTCAAAATTTTTATTAATGTTTAGTTTTTCTGATTATGCAGAAGACCTCAAAAAAATCTTTAAAAATAACTGGCAAAAACAAGAATAAATTAGTCTATTTTATTGTATAAAATTTTGAAAATAAATTTAAATTATGAATATTTAATTATGATTAAATCTAATATTTTACAAAATTAGAAATTATTTTTTAAGTAATAATTTTTATGAAATTTTTTTAGTAAAGTATCTAGGTCTTCTTGCCATGTCTAAAATATTGAAGACACATCCAAAGAGTGTTCAAGCACACAAAGATTTAATATTGCAATGCCTGGATGATAAAGATGAATCTATTCGTCTTCGTGCACTTGATCTTCTTTATGGAATGGTAAAGTTTTATTCATAATTATTTATATTATATCTATAATATGTCTTAATGATTTATTTTAATGAATACAAAGTAATAGAAATGTTAATATCCAGTGGATATTGATAAAATAACTATGCTTATTTTTACCACTAAACTATATTGTTGATATGGAAGTAAAAACAAATTGCTCTCTTAGGGAAAATATTCCTTAATATTAAAAAAAAAATTTTAATCCAAATTTAATTTAATGTATATAAAAATATTATATAAATATAATTTTGATAATGAATTAAATAGAAAAATTACAGTACTGTATTTAAATATTGAAAATTTATTAAATTCTAAAACATGATAATGATTTCAATAATAGTGTTTCCATATTCATATTATTAGAATATAGAAATTAATAACTGTCATTTTATTATTTGTTTGGTTTTTCATTTTTCTAATTTGATTTTTGAATTAATATTTAGTAATTGTTATTTATTATTAAAAACAAATTTATGTAATTATATGTTTGCTTTTTGACATAAATACATCTATGTCATATGGTACACCAGAATGATTGTGTGATGAAAGTATAGTATATCATTTGTTTACAGCATGTCACACCACAGCCAATCAGTTTCATTTATTGCATGTGATTTATATTCTTCCAATCATAGAAGTCTTCATGCTCCAACAAACCAACAGTGCCACCATTATTTCTCTCTTGTTTCAGAGATTTAATTCATGATTTAAGTTTGCCATAAGATCTGCATATGCATACAGGGTGTTTTGGAACTTGTGGGCAAAAATTTAAGGGGTGATAGAAAACATTTAAACAAGCAATTTTCACTATACAATGCATGGGCGGAGAGCAAGCGGTGAACCGCTAGGAGGTATCCATTACTGTCACATGAAAGAATGAAACACCAAACAGATAGAGGAAGTACTAAATAATTTTATTGACAGCATGTTTGGCAAAATTACAGAAACTGCTCAAAAGAGCAACCTCCTGTGTAATGCAGGCGTTACACTTGCAACGTAGCGCGCAGCACACTTTTTCAAACACACCTGGCATGTCTCAGATGGCACTGGCAGCAACAGAAATCCTGGCAACTAGGTCCTCATCGGAGCTGATGGGGCTTTCATACATATCTGGAAGCATGCAAAGATTATCCCTGTGCCAAAGCCGGGCAATCCTGTCAAGAGCAGACCTATATCCCTGCTGCCAGTTCTCAGCAAGGTATTGGAGAAGCTCATTAATAACAGACTTCTGTGGCACTTGGAGCACAACAACATCCTCCATCATTCCCAATTTGGTTTCTGGCCCCAGAGATCTACAGTCAATGCCATTCATGAAGTCGTCAGTAAAGTTAATCGACTACTGGACCAACATAAGTATGTTCTGGCCATCAGTCTGGACATCGTGGAAGCATTTGACAGTGCCTGATGGCCATTGATATTACAAAAGTTCAGGAACATGAACTGTCCCACAAACATTTACAGAATTCTCAGAGATTACCTTAGTGAAAGATCGGCCATGTTGCAGTGAGGAGGGCACACTGTTACTCAAGTGTCATATGTGGCTGTCCTCAAGGATCTGTCTTGGGCCCAATCTTTAATCAGACTTTCTACAGCGGGATTTTGGACAGCACAAGACCATTGTGTATGCCGATGATGCCTTGGTGCTCCTTGGGTGTCGTTCTAGGGCTGATATTGAAGTTAATGGTACTCGAATACTGGATAACATCCTGACTTTGGGAGCAGACTGTAAATTAAATTTCAATGCAAGGAAAACAACCAGCATAGTGTTAAGCAAACCTAGGCACTGCAACCTTTATTTGAGAGTTCCACTATTAAAATGGGGGGCCATTCTATTACAGTGAAAAAGAACATCAGGTATCTTGGTGTGATGCTTGACCATAGGCTACTATGCCCACACAGAATATATAATGGATCGAATAGAGTGGATCTTTAATGCATTTGCGGGCTTTGCAAGAAGAAGATGGGGTCTAGCCTCTGAGGCAATGGAGGCTATTTACAATCAGATATTCCTTCCTATAATCACTTATGCTTGTGGCAGTTGGGGACCGGCTGTCTGCAAGGTCCATATCAAAAGAAAGCTCATTGCCACTCAAAGAAGGGCCCTTTTTCATATTACAAGAGCTTACAGGATGACCCCCAACACTGCCCTTCATGTCCTGGCCAAGAAGGCACCTTTGGACAAATATATTGGACTACAAGAAAGGATATGATGTCTCAAGTGGGGAGCCAATATACAAACCACCAAACTTACTATCTCTCACCAGGATCTTGAAACATACCCTTCGGACTAACTAAACACCCCTCCTATCTTCAAAGGCTCAACTTTATGCCGCCCAATTTCTTTGACATAGAACTTTTCATGGGTGGCTTCAAGACTACTACTAGTGTCAGCAGTGGATATGCCACCTACCACAACAACAGGGCAGTACAGGTTGGGGGGAAAACTGTACTGTCCTATAGGCAGAATTGTTCACATCTGGATGGCTGTTGTTTGGGCAAACTCCAACCTCTCACACAAAAGAGTCGTCGTCATCACGGATAGTGTATCGTCTATCACTCTACTGAAGAAAAAATCGTACCATTCAATATCCACCACCATACATGATCTCATTGACAACTCCAGAAATACCTTTCACATTCTTTGGACACATGCCCATCAGGATATGCCTGGAAACGAGAGGGCCGATGCCCTGGCAAGAACTGCTGGGGAAAATAAAAATCTTCCCATTGCCTATAAGCAGCTGACTATCAACACTGTCAAGAGCATTCTCTGGACAGATTTAATTGCATCCTGGCAGCAAGACTGGGAAGCGCATATTAATAACCATTCCACCATTTGTAACTTCATACTCAATATTGCACGCTTTCTTGACTGTTGTTGGTATTGGCCTGGTCAGTGTATTAGTCAGTTCCTGACCGACCACAGAACTTTCAAATCTTACCTTGCAAGATTCAAGAACATGCCCAACTTCAACTGCTCTCTTTGTGGGGTCTCTGACGGCAGTCAACATTACATCTTTTACTGTCCCATGTTGGAGTTGGAAAGACTTCAACTAAAGACTACAATTGAGGCTTATGGTGGTGTGTGGCCGAATGACTGTGACAAAACCTTTGATAACAGAGACGCTTACGACACATTTATGACGCTAATAAACATGTACTTTGGAAGGACTACTATAAGAGCATTCAACTAGCAGCTCACTGTCATTGAACCATGATATTGCAATTATATTTGTATTGCAACTAGTAACTGGTAGTTGATATTGTGATTTGTTATGTAATCTGTACTCAATATCTGTAACCGAATTTGCAATAAAATCCATAACTGTAATTTGTATTGTAAATGTAATTATTATCAGTGTAATTGTCTTCTGAGACTGTGCTTAGTTATCCTCATGTGTATGTATGCTATACTACCTTTTGTATATAATTATTCTGTTTGTTACTCTGTATATTATTGTGACCAAAGGGTCGGCACCTCTTCAATGCCCTGTCAGGATGACACCACCACGTCTAGGTTGACACGGAAGCCATGCTAACTAGGTTACGCGAGCAATCGCGTAATGGAGAAATCCGGTTCGGGATGGAGGGAGAGACAGCGCCCTGGAAGTGACTTATGCAACATAACAACTGTTTAATTGATAATGATAGGCAATACAGGACATACAATATATCGAATTGAATATGATAGAATTTAGATATATTGGTTGTATTTGATATTATATATGTTAGACAGAGTTAACTTAAAGTCCTCAGGTCTTGAGAGAGAGAGTTTACAATAAAAATGCATGGCAATAAATACCTGGAGTTTGGTTGATTTGCTAGTAAGTTGTAGTTTTTAGTGATTCGCTAGTCAGACTTGAGGTTCTTGATGATGAAGTTAGTCCAGTTAGGTAATCAAGTATTCTGGTTCGGCGACGACGTTAATCCAAATAATAGGCACTTAATAAGTCTGATGGACGACAAAGTTAATCCAGTGGAAAGCACTGCACATACGTAAAGGGATGCGGAGCTGGAGACTTGTCTCTTCTAGGACGGAGCGACAACTGCCCTAACTTTGTTGTTCTGTTCTATATTGAATAGATGAAATCGAGATATTAGGTTGAGAGGTGATAAGAAAGCGTCATTATCAGGCCTGAGAACTTAACAGATGTTTTGCTCCCAGATGTAAAAGTTGACAGTTATTTAACGAGGTTATAGTTACGATGTGACGTTATGAATTAATGATGTAAACATACTAAAAGTCAGGATTCGGATCCTCACATCATTGTATTGAATACTGTGTAACCATTTTATCTACACAATTTTATGTATGCCTTTCCTGCTTATGTATATTCTTGATTCAACCATTATTTTTCCCATTTGTTATGTATCAATTATCTTCACTGGATCTGCTTAATGTATTAATCGACTGTGACGGAACTGGGTTATACCTATGTGGCATTCAGATGCATTGTACCTAATGTGTTAAATAAAATATGAATGAATGAATGAAATGGGGCTTTCATACATGAGACTTTTCAAATGGCCCCACAGGAAAAAGTCCAGACAGGAGAGATCGGGCGAGTGTGCCGGCCAAGATGTGGTCCCACCTCGACCAATCCGTCATCCTGGGAATTTAGCGTCTAAAGTGCTGCACTGTACATAAAATGCATGTCTGTCTTTTCCTGATGACTGTACGTCACCATGCCTTCTGAAATCCGCGGTAGAAATGACAATGTGTAAGAAAACTCGCGCTTTATGCTTTCCATTGCAGTGCCATCTAGCAGTTCACCGCTTGCTCTCTGTCCATGCATTGTATGGTGAAAATGGTTTGTTTAGTTGTTTTTTATCACCCCATAAATTTTTGCCCATGAGTTTCGAAATACCCTGTATTAATATAGTTACATGTTTATTAAATACAGCATAATCGTGTTGATTCAATCACTTGCAAGTTTGACATAACGTAGCCAGTAATCAGACACTAGTCAACTCCTGAATACTACCAGCATTGCTGCCAAGTCATAGAGAAGCTTCCCATTAGTTCAAACTCCAGTTTCCACTAAATTTAGTGGTAATTTACCAACTTGGCATTTGGATGTTTTTTATCAGTAGTCTAACTTGGGTTTTTCTGTATCATTAACAGTTGACTTCATGCTGTCAAATTTGTTTATGTACTCAATTATTTTAATTGCATCACATTTTTGTTGTATTTAAATTATTAACTCATCAAAATGTGTCTAGCACTCTTCTGATCCAATATATGTCAGATTACCAAGATTGTGCTACACTCTCTTAATTACTTTCATGTTTGTAGTTGTTAGATGAAAATGATTCCTATTTTGGATGATGGTAATTGCAGCACATCTGGTTCCATTACAATGTAATATTATTCCCATAATTTTAGCAAGGTCTTTAACATAGATGTAAAGAAAAAGGAAAACAAAACGTTATAACTTTTATTAAAGGTAAGTTTGACACAAAATTGATATCTAACTCACAACTCAACAATATCATATTACAATCTTCCATAGATATGGTGTCTGGGAGAAATATTGATCCCTGAAAACAGACAAGCTATGTGACTGACTTTAATTATCATAAACCCATTTTAACTATAACCAATAAACTGTCACTGAATCTACTAATGTATGAAAATCCATGTATGTATCATATGCTAAATATAGTATAAAGGGAATGTAATACATAGAAAAAATAACATCATAATCTATAAAAGTACTTTGTGCATTTAGTTTAAAATGGCATATTTTAGGGAGAATATTTACATCAATGTCTCAGAAATGTAGTTCTAATTACTTTTTTAATTAATTTTTTTAAATTACTTTAAATAATATAGTTTAAGTTTTGGAGTATTTTTCTTATGTAGACATGAAATTATGTGATGAAATTGGCATCATCACGTAAAAATCAGAAAATATTGAGAAAATTTGATATAATGTCTGCTTTGAACATCTCTAAAGGTTATTATAAAGCAAAGTTACTAATCTAAAAGTAATGTAAATTATTTATTAGAATATATTGTAAATAAAATCTGTTTACAAGAATATAAAGTATTAGATTGATGCAAAAGTTGCTGGAATTTTCTAGACCTCTTTAGAATATTTGTTCTTTAGAAGTTGTTCTATAACAGATGGCAGGCATCTAGAAGTCTATTTTGCAGTATATAAACGAAGGATATTGAGGTACACAGTTATAAATGAAAAGATGTTTTGTAAGGTAATACTAACATTTTAAATACGTTAAGTTTATTTTGTCAATATTTTCTTGTGAGTGAATTTATGCATGTGTGTTTTATGATTACACAGAATATCATTATAACTTCTGAAATTAAGGTGTTCAGCTGCAACATTTGGCTGATGCTGTCCAAACTCAATGGTCACAGATGAACATTGTAGGTTTCTAACATCTAACAATGCAAAAATTACATGTTAACATTGATCCAGTTGAAGCTGATTGATCTCAGCTGGGAGGTTCTCCTTTGCCCCTGTGTAGCCCAGACACTACACCATTTGACTATCATTTCCTCTGCTCCATGTACCACTTCTTGGATGGAAAGCAGTTCACTGTTGATGATGAGATGAAAATTGCACTTGCAAAGTTCTTTGATGAAAGAAGGTGCTTGAATGTAAAGACAATTATTTTCTTAATGTTTTTTAAGTAAATGTGATACTATGAGACTAAAAAATTCCAGAAACTTTTGGACTACTAACCCAATATTTCTTTCTTGAAATTATCAACTCCATCAAAATTAACTGAAACAATTACTTTATAAATTCAAGGAATAACTTACATATTTCCAGTTAAACAATTTTTCGAGACCTTTTGTCTCTTTGTCTCAAGCACTTAACAATTTCACAGAACAAGCTAAAAAATTCTGATGACAAATAATAGATTTGAACATCAATTATGTTTAACTTTAGAATGTTGTTTAAAGACAAAAATAAAAGAAAACTAAAGAAATTTAATAGTACAATAAAAATAAATCCTGTAAATGTTTAAAAAAATGCTTAATCAAAAATAAATAAATTAACTCCTTGAATTTATATAGCAATTGCTTGAGAATGTAAAGTAATATGGAAAGTTTGTTTTAAAAAATTCTTCAGTAAGACTTAAAATTTTACAAAAATCATTGAAAAAACATTAAAATAAAATTTAAATTTCAAATAAAAAAATATAAATGCTTAATTTGCATAATCTTAACAGGAAATGACTTCAACAATAAATACGAGAAAATTTTAAAACCACCATTTATAATTTTTGTTTATATATTTTTAAGCAAATACTTTGAAATTATCCTATTTATGCAAATGGCATTAGTCTTGATTTATTTTAATAGGCATAATATCAAGTTTATACATTACTTCTAATATTGTTATGTAATTAATAATTATAACAATTAATGTATTAAAGATACTTATTATAATAATTTTTATTTAAGGTATCAAAAAAAAATTTAATGGAGATAGTAAAGAAGTTAATGGTTCATATGGATAAAGCAGAAGGTACAAATTATAGAGATGAATTACTGTGTAAAGTGATTGATATTTGCTCTCAAAATAACTATCAATATATTACTAATTTTGAATGGTAAGAATATTTTACTTAATTTACAGCTAAAATATCTAAATTCCGAGCAAATTTATGAATTACTATAAAAAGTTTAAGTTTCTTAAAAAGTTCTTGAATATAATAATTGTTAGTTAAATTTTTTTAATTAAATTTCTTTTGACTGCTGTTTATATATAAATATTATAAAGTCTCTGTAAATCCGCACTAAAAATATTTTTAGTGTGGATTTACAGAGACTTTATAATAATTAATAATTGTTAGATTTTTTTTTACAAGTTTTAATATAAAAATTTAGAAATGATGTCATCTATTAAATGTTGTATGACTTTTTAATAATATAAAAATATTTCTAAAATAACAATCAGATTNTTTTGAATAATAATATATTTTTAATTATTGTATTTACTTTTATCATATACTAGTACTTTTAATTATACAGTATGTTAAAATTTTTGAAATGTTTTTCATTATTGTTTAATGTGAAAACAATATATGAAAAGAAACAGATAAACATGTTATTGATACATTGTATTATTAGATGACATTCTATGAAAATCCTTTCCAATTTATGCTTACAATGAAAACATTTCAACCAATATACAAATAAGTTGTTTTAAGTGCTATTAGATATTTGTTTTTGAGAAAAATGAAAATGAGGTTTATTTTTGTGTGTGGCCATCCAAGTGCCAAAAAATGACCTTGAAAGTAATGATGTACATTCATATACAGGTATTTTACACCATCTTCCCATCTTCCATCATAATTATGTAATAACACGTGTGATTTGTTTTATCTGTGTAATTAATATCTGTGGTTTAAAATTCAGTTTTAGAAGAAATTAAATTTTTCTAATATTTTCAGATCCATTGTATTTAGATGATTTGATTTTTTTTTATTGATTTAGATAATTTTATTATAGATGTTACAATAGAAATATTACCTTTGTAAAAGGTATGTTATATTTATAAAATTTCTATTTGATGGTGAATAGATTATACACAATTTTCTATATTATATTTTTTTCCACTGTTATCTGTTCATGTCAAATGTCACTATTTCATGGTCCTAAATTTTTCAAGTATTATTTGCTAGTACCAATTAATATTAAAAATGTGTTAAATGTTATTTTTTATGCATTTTTGGAATTTGATCTACAAAATTATGTTGACTCTTCCAACTGAAGAAAGGCATTTTATAACAGGAAAGTTAAATAATAATCCATCATGTTATGCAATTTACCTGAATGGATAAAAATTGATATAAATTGTGTGTAATTATCAGTTCATAGTCAAACTTTTGACTTGATGACTACATAACATTAAATTGAATATTAATGAACATCCCATAGTTTAGGTAAGATTTTTGTCACAAAACTTTAATCAAAAATTATACATTCAGTTATAAAGATGCTAATATGCACAAACAGATCAGTGAATATTAAAACATATGGGTTTATCTATAAATGACTGTAGATTCAAACTACAATTATCAGAGGTAGAGAGGGAAAAAACATACAGTAATACCTCAGTTTTCATTCAACCAAAGTCAATGAAAACTGAGATATTACTGTATATATACTGTAAGTTTCAGTTTTCATCAATTCTTTCTGTGAAAAATTTGCCTCAGATTTCATTGGTTGCCTCAGAATTCGTTGATGTGCCCACATGACCTCGCTGCTAATTTTGCAAAAACAAAGGGCGACCCACACATTTTCCTGCAAAGTGTGGTATTGTTTCTCATTGTGTGAGCATTACCCCATGCATCTAGCAAACAGTTCCATTGCTTTCCTTTTAGCTCCATTGTGGGATCAAAAAAGCTTCCAGAGACAGAAGCCCTTCGATGAAGAAAGCCAGGAACATGATTAAGTTGAAGAAAGAAATCATTGAAAAATATGAGAGTGGGATTAAGATTGCTGAAATTGATTGCATGTACAGGAAGTTGCCATCCATGATAGATTCCATTGTGGCAAAAAAGGAAGCAATAAAGGAGACTAATGTAGCGAAAGGCGTGAATATGCTAATGAAACAGAGATCGCAAACAATTGAAGATGTTGAACAGTTATTATCCATTTGGATCAATCAAAAACATTATTTGCATAAAAATTGTGCATTATTTGCATAAAGACGACACAACTCAGGACCATTTTCAATTGAAAATTAAGTAGACCTATTTTAAAGTTTTTTTCTATCTTGGATGGAAAAAAGGATTAAAGAAAAAGACTTTAAAATATGTCTACTTAATTTTCAATCAAAAACATTATATTCATTTCTTATTGTTTTTAGTATTAAACACTATATTTATTCTCTATAAAATGTATTTTTGGTATGTATTTTGGAGTGTCTAGACTGAATTAAATGGATTTATATTGATTCATATGGAAATAATTGCCTCAGTTTTCANTTACATGAAATATATTCAAGCTCCCAACACAACTAAAAAATAAATTTCAAAATCTTTTTATATACCATATTAAGGAGGTAAATCCTATATAAATATTTTTCTGGCCAAGTCCTACTAACTAGCTACTCAGTGAATCTAACATTGAATTGTTACAAAATCTCAATGATGTAAAAAGTTTTTAATTAACTCCCTAAGCAAAATGATAGGGAAACTTTAGAACCTAATATCTCTGGAACAAATCATCATATATAAAAGCAAAAAACTTGTTGCACATCTGCAGACCACTTCTCTCTATCTACACCTAATTTGTTCATATCTGCCAAGAAATTTATAGAACTTATGGAAAAAAATCATTTTAGCATAATATACAAGGGTAAGTCAAAAATTATCTGCACTTTGGATGTAGAATTTATTGTAATCAACCTTCAGTAAGTCAAATATATCATTTCTCAACATAATTGCCCTGCTTTTCAATACACTTTGTCCATCTGTTCACAAGTTTTCCTATTCCTTCATTTAAAAATGGTTTTCAGCTGAGTTGCCGTTGTCTTAACATCGTTGTCAGATGTGAATCTTCGTCCCTGTAGCACTTCTTTTAGGGCAGGGCTGTCCAAGTGGCGGCCCGCCAAATAATTTTTACGGCCCGCGAGTACATTTTACTATGAATAAATTTATGATACTAAATTATTATTAATAATATTAAAATTATTTTACTGTGTGAAAATTTAAATCTAATTTGAATTTAAAGTAGGTACTATTTAGTTTGCGTAACTTCACTTAACCTGGCTGAATACAGCAGCAACCTTCTTGGCCCCCGAAATGTTTGGTGAAGAAAATATGGCCCGCGGGCTATGATAAGTTGGACAGCGCTGT